TTAATAAATAAGGTGTTCAATAATGACAAAGCACACGGTGAACGTTATGCTATTTTAAAACCGGAATGGAGACTTGGCAACGATTCATCTATTTATATTATTATAAAGCAAGAATAAAATTTCAAGGCGTTTAGTTAAACGCATCGGAATTTTCGGAACACAGGTTTTTAAGCAATTGCGCACATTGTTGCCAAAATTGACCATTTTCTCATTTTCTTATGAGACAACTATGATAATATAAAGCAAAACATACTACGATGAAACAACAGATGTTATATACTTTTCTTGTTTTTCCTTACAAATTATTTTTAAATTTTGTATTATCAATAATAAATCCTAACATCTAAAGAAGTGTTAGACAAAAAATTTCATATCAAACTAGTTGGTATTGGTGTTTTGCCTTGAGGCATCAATAAACAATAAATTCCGAGAAGATTTATTACAAATAATTGAAAACGAACGAACACGTTAACTCGGAGTATTTTCTAAGAGCAATTTTCAAACAACAACAATTTTTATAATTGAACCAGGCTCCATATGACTTCAATGGTTTAGTATGTTTATTAAGACCAAGTACTCTATTGTTATACCAAGTAAATCGTCTAACTTTAATTTTAACAAACGTCATAAAAACTCATTTTCTCAAACTTTGATGAGTTTTCTCAAATTTTTAGAAGTAAGTTCTATAAGACCATGATATATATCGCCAAAAAGTTCCATAAAAATCGGCTTCAATTTTTTTTCAACAGTTAATTACAAAAAAACGGTTCGGTAGATTTTCACCTAAAACTAATCAGTATCATTCCTAAATAATATCTTTCGAACAGTTTTTGGTTTTTAAAATCGATTCGGTAGTATGAGCTTAAATGTAGACGAAAAGTTTAACACTTTTTTCAAATTACAAAGAAACGTCTCGGCAGATCGTCGCACAAAACTGACAAACAATAGTCCTCATTGAGATAGATCAAATGGCTTTTCCACTTTTAAAATCGATCCAGCCGATTACATAAACTTCTTCTTCGGAAAGTTAATAATCTAATATCGTGTTTATATTTTAAGAGTGATATCTAAGCGTGTGGAGAAAGAGGGTAAATTAAATAAGTAGCTCTCATATGATAGACCTGCTTTGGGACTTCACACCAGCACCAGCAATATATATGTACAATGGGATATAAATTAGAAATTTCTCATGGTAAAATATATGTATAATGCTTAAAAAAGTACAATATCAAATAAATAGAAAAAGATAAAATATAAACAATTTTAAACATATATAATGTTGTTGCTGATACTATTTTAATTGCGCTCTAATTAATATATTTGTACTAAACCCAAGCAGTTATACTACCTAATACAGTCTAATGCTTTTCAATATGCGATTTGGCCATGCAAAACAAGAAGTGTTTTTTGTTATTTGTTTTTTTCTTGGGTGAATAAATGTGCAGCAGTCGCAATAGATATAAGTTACGACCAGTATTCATAAGACATGCGGATACATAAAGCTAAGAGCACGTTCGATTTATTTTTAGCAATAAGGCCAAGATTGTAAAGAGGAATATAATAATAAATACGGAACGAACACGATTTTTTTCTACCTTAATTATATAATATATTTTTAGGAGTCATATTTTTGTGTTTTAAATATTTAACAACAGTCAGAACTGTGTATTCTGTGAGCTGTGTTATCATACTATCATATCCTAAACTAGTATTTTTGTGAGAGAGCAACCCAGCGGTCAAACATTATACTTTTATACATATATATTAGGGTGGTCTTTAATATGGACATTTTCGAATTTCCTTGCTCCCAGGGGCTCAAATGCTTTCAAATTGACCAAAAAAATCTCTTTTTTCTCTATAATTTAATATATTTTAAAAACATTTATAAATTTTTGAAAATTTTTCCATGCTATTTCCATAAAGCTTTGATTGAATTGCGCACTATCTAAAAGACAATAAAAAGAGCTAAAACTTTTAGAGGATTTTTTTTATCAATTTGAAAGCATTTGAGCCTCTGGGAGCAAAGAAATTTGAAAATGTCCAAATTAAGGACCACCTATATATATATATATATATATATATATATATATATATATATAATATTGCTGACTTATATAAGTTACAGCAATTTTCTTTTTTTCTTGAGATTTTATTTGAGATCTAACACTTCAAGTGAAAATTGAGCATACTGCTCGATAACAAGGATTAAATCTGCCTTATGATCGATAGTTAATGCCAATAATTAATTTGATCATTTCTAATTTGCATAATTTTACGACTGATACGATTCTAAGTTAATAATGTTTGATCTAAAAACAAATTCAATTTATTAAATTTCTAAATTCTTTGATATCATATTTTAAGTAGTATTGCAATAATGTTCATGTGTATTAAGTTAAAACAACTATATTTTACACCCTAGAAATAACAAATTTGTACCAAACTAGTAGTATTGCAAATATAAAATTTTATTAAAGCTTTAACTAGTCATTCTCATGCTATACCCATTTATCCAGGTGAAAATAAATTCAATTTATTTCATGTATTATTTTTAAAGCTCTTCCATAGATAGTTTAATTAAAAAATAAAAAATGTATATATTAAATAATAAATTATTTTTTTAGAAAAAAGGTTCAGATCTAGTCAGCCTTATAGCAATAATTTTAACCCTTTCCATTCGAATGCTGCTCCGGCGACTAAATACATATAATATTAAGGTCTCGTTAACAACAGTGGTCACAACCAAAAAAAATAACGACGAAAAAAAATAGTTTTGTTATAGATTTTCAAACATTGTAGTTTATCTTTACTGGTTTTTGAGATATTGGTGATGGACCTTTTTACCTCCGGACCTTTAAGCCCCGCTCTAATGTCACCTTATGTTAAAAATTTAAAATTAATTTTGTTGCCGTTTGTAATAAAAAGATTTACCACTAAGTAAGTTTTTTAAGCTTTTACTTAATTTATTTACACTCAAATTACTGAATGTCTCTTGGAGAAAGATATCAATGTGTATAGTATTAATAAAAAAATATAATTGTATAAATGCCAGAACAATTTAGATAAATGTATAGAAATTCATTTTAAAATTATTCTAGTAAATAATATCAATAATCATATATAAAGTTCCAATGACAATCAATTGGCAATGGTGTAGTGCCATGAACCTGAACAATCATTGCTCAACTGCTTTATTTCTCAAAACGCTTTTGTTAGATCAATGTAAAATAATTGTTATTTATTTTAAAATATATATATATAATGATATCCAATTTTTTAGTATAAGAACTGTAACTATAAAAAATATATCATGCAAGAAAATTATGTGATAGTTATACGAAATTTATATGCTTGGAAAGATATATTTAACATCGCAGCGCGAATAATCTTTTCTTTTATTTCTAAAATTAGATTAGGTATAAATAAATTGGTAAATACGTAATTAATAATACAATAATAACAAATAATTATAAAAAATTATATATAATTTATTTTAAAAAATACAGCAAATTTTTTATCGCATGTTACCTTAAGCGTTAATTAGATAATTTTATACTGATTTACATTTACAATCAATAATTTTATATACATTAACATATGCATTATTTTCAAAAAATAGATATGTTATGTAAAATATATAAGAAAGAGTTAATAGCAAAAAATGATTTGGATAATGATAGAAATTATTTACAAAATCGAAACTCAAAAATTAATTTTAATCACTGAAATTATTTAGTAGAAGTTTACTGAGTTATTCGATGATTTACCATTGTTTTTGCAAATGGTTTATAAGCCAATCAAAATTTGTAGAAAAATATTATGCGTGTATATTTGTCAAATATATATTTGAAATTATTTTAATATATATTATAATCGAAAATCTGCTATTGGAAAGATAAAAAATATTCCGAATAAAAAATATTAATTATAAAGGGTATGGGCGGGTTTCCATACAGAATCGGCTTCACTATAGTATTTAAATAATTTTGATGCCATTTTATAGGTCTTTTCATTTTCATCAGTACGATATACCAATTTTCAACTCCCTATCTCATCATTTGGCCGAGATATCAGTGAAAATATGTGAAAGTGGCCCCTTCTTACACACTCACTTTTGGTCGGAAATATAAAATTAAAATTAAAAATGTCGGAAATTAAATAATATGATATTTATATGAAATTGAGTGGAATCATATTTCTTATTTTTTGACTTCATAATTTATCGCAATAAGACATAAAATATACCTAGACCATAAAACCATAGAATATACCTTTTTAACTATACCTAGGTATAGTTAAGAAAAAGGAAATTTTAATGTTGATATTATGAATAGATTCTTGGAAAGCAGAACATCAAGTAATATATGTACATAAAGTGAATTATAACCGCTTGTTGTTATTTGATTCAATGTCTAATAACAGAAAACTATCGACGTAGATTGAAGAGAAAATCGCTGCTTGATTTAAGTCATCAATTTCCCTGATAAAGATTGAAATAACTTAGTTGTTGCTTATAAGAAAATCGTTAAGGTAATATTATTTATAAGGAATGGAAAAACAGCTATTGAGTTGTTTTTTCAACATGTCACTATAGTATACAATGTCCCTTTACGGCTGACAATTGTAAAATCCACACATTCACTAAATGCCCTTAACTGGCCAGTTGTAAATAAAATAGAGAATAAAAACAAACTGTCTAATAATGTAGATGCAGCTGATTTAATAATTCATTTATCAAGTGAATGTGAGTTATTAAAGGTATTGAATCAAGAATCCAAAATGCCAATGATCGAGTGTACCGAGAACAGGTCTGTGTAAGGAGTTCTTCCAATCCATTTGTTCGCGGCACCAGGCGAGGATTCTTGATATAGTACAATAGGACGCCAGGGCAGGCGCTGCTTACTATATTGTATGTGTTATATGATACGTTTTAGGTGCCTTCAGCGAGTCCACAAATATATCTCAATCCCCACCATTTTTGGCAGACATTTGGTTCCTCTAAAAGAGCCAGGCTAGGCACCGCGCTTTTCATTAGCAAGTCGATCCTAGACCGTTGACCAGTCTTGTTTGCAGTGTAGTGTAAATACATCTCCCAAACTTACAAAATGGTAAGTAGAAAGTGGAAATATGGATAGAAGACCATTGGATTATAGTGACTGTAACGCTTTTCTTTGTTTCTGTTGACAGGCCGATCTCAGTGCTAAGGATGTCGAAAGTAAGTACATTTTACTAGTACTTTTTGATTAATAATTTAACGAAAAAAAGATTTGGCCAGAATTAAGTAGCTTGGCAAGTATGGCTGAATCAAAAACAAAATTTTGGACTTAAAACTTAAATATACAAACACAAATTCGACCTATGTACTACAAATATAACTTAATTTGAATTCTTTCAGTATGTTTATAATTATAAATATGATTTTTTATTTATTGTTTCCAGGGGCAAACTTTGCCTTCTCCATCTACGATTTCGATGGTAGCGGCCAAATCGACTGCTTCAACATCGGAGATGTCTTGCGCGCACTCAACTTGAACCCAACTCAAGCCTTAGTCGAAAAAATGGGAGGAACCAAGAAGAAGAACGAGAAAAAAATGAAAGTTGAAGAATTCCTGCCCATCTACAGCCAGGTCCGAATTTAAAGACATGACACCCATAACTTTATTAGTAACATACACATCGACATATGAACAAATGAAGAAGTGTTATTTGAAGTGATGTAATCGAATTTCTTGGATACGGTGATTTGTGACTTTTACATTGATCTGTATTATATTGTGATGTAATAAGTGACTTGCGCGTTTAGTGTGATTTTTATTGTGAAGAAATATAAGAAGGATTGTTCCAATTTCAAGTGATGCGTTGATAGCTCGGCAGCACGTGTGTTATTTTTAGAAGATCTAAACTTCTTGTGAAACACAACTCACGTACGGCTGAGATTTAAAAGTGCTCTCTTGCATTTAATTTATTTACACTTTGAATCAGTACATCCTGTATAATTGGATTACTTTTTAACATAAACCGCAATTTTAAATTCTGCACTGAATTGTAACTTTTTATTTTTAAAAGTTTTGTAGATGTTGCCCATATCAATTTTCAAAAGAAACCCTAAAATATCAGGAACTAAATATAGATAAATTTTTACACGCGATCGGAAGCGTTGTATGATGTGAAATAAATTTAATTTCCGGTCAGATACTTATCGAACTTTCTGAAAGCTGTCCTTATAAAATGGGTGATCTATTTTATGACTTTGCGCTTCAAAATCGCTTACATACACTTCTATAGAAAATCACATTTACGTACACACATACACATGTATATATATAAATATAAGTATATATAATTTCTATGAAAGTTTTACATAATTGCATTTCACACAATATTATATAAATCTATTATATATATATATATCTATTATATTTGCATGTGTAGGTGTATAAATATATTCGCAATATTATCCTTGCGACTGAATTGCTCATATTTATGGTTTTATGATCTAAATTTTAACAAAAGAATTGAAAAGAATGAAGATACCATCAAAAAATAAATTTCCGCAAGCTTAAAATATCACAAAATGAAGAAATAATTTACGTCTTTCAGGTCAAAAAAGAGAAGGAAACCGGATGCTACGAAGACTTCTTGGAATGTTTGAAATTGTACGACAAGGCTGAAAATGGAATGATGTTGGGAGCCGAATTACAACACACACTCTTGTCCTTAGGTATTTATATCATAGTTGTAACAATTAGTTCTTAATTTTTATTTACATAAATGATAATAAATAACCACATATTTACCGCCAAGTTATCGTTCAAATTACTTTGCACGTAATATACACATTTTTGCAAGTAAATTTTTGAAGTAAATTCAAAATCTGATATGTTTTTTAAATTTGAACATATGAAAAATAATTTTATCAGAATTTACTCTAATTGTAATTCTAATGATTCTTAATACAAAACCCCTCAAAGTCACTTAAAGCAAAAGTAAAATAATATTAACGCCGATGGTTCAAAACTTTCAATCATCACACCGTCTAAAATAATGATATATCATACCAAATGTATGTTTGGTTAGGTTTAAAATAAAATTCGAATTCGAATTTGAATTTAAAATTCAAGACGTAAAATAAAATCTATCTATCACGAAATTATAGACTAAAACTAAAATGATATTTTTACTATAATCCCTCAGTTTGAAGGGTTAAATTTGCGAATAATGTTTTAATAGAAAAAGTACAAAAGCTCCGAATCATTGATATGATATTAAAAGTACAAAGTAATTATTTATACCTTTTTCTGAATTGTTTTATCTAACTTTTATTTTCTGTATAATTTATATATCGTGTGGTTTTCTCAGTTTTCAATACATGTTACATAAATCATTATTATGGATTTTTTTTTGGCGATATACTCGTATATCATGGTCTTATAGATCTTACTGAAATATCACGGCCTTACGACAAGTAAATCAATTTTAAAAATTCATCAAAGTTTGAGAAAATGAGTAGTTTTTTTGACGTTTGTTAAAATTAAAATTAGACGATTTACTTGGTATAACGGTAAAGTACTTGGTCTTAATGAACATACTAAACCATTAAAGTCCTACGGAAACTGGTTCAATTATAAAAATTAAAATTAAATATTAAATTCAATTATAAATTATTTATTTTTGAAAATTTGCTTCTAGAAAATACTCCGAGTTAACGTGTTCGTTCAATGTAATAAATCTACTTGGAGTACTTTTAATCACTCATAAATTAATTTATTTTTTATTAACTAAGTTGATTATTTACACATATTTTAAATATAAATTTAAAGAAGGATTGTTAAATGTAAAAAATTATGTAATAGACAAATGCTCAGCACTATTTATATTTGTATAAAACATAAAAAGTCGTATCAGTCTGAAAATATGAACTTAATAAAATATAACTAGATAGATAGACTAAATAGCTATAACTAGAAGCATTAGCATTTTTTTGTTTATTTATTTGAAAAAAAAATTTACTTAAATTTTTGAATACCGAATGCAAACGTGACAAATAAATTATCGAACATTTTTAAACACAAAATTATATAATAACAGTTTTTTATATATATATTTTTTTATAAGAATTGCGGACTTTTAGTAAAAACTTTATTATTTGATTATATGTCATACTTTTTCATCTATGATATTATATCTTATATCTATCTATATGTTTTTCGCGCTTTTGAGCCTTGTATAATATTCTATTAAACAAATTGGCATTTGTTCGTTTGTTTTCATAATTTTTGTTAATTCATCTGTTAATTTTCGAAAAACCGGGACAATCCGGAACAAAAAATCTAAATCCGGTACAAATCATGCTTTTAAAATAACCCGGGACACAAGGTACGGGATGTATGGTCACCTTAAGTGAAAAATGCAGTATTTGAGAAAATTACAAAATGAAAAATTTACAAAAATTTCAAAATAAAGGTTGAGATGAACGTGTGCCTAAGTGCATATGTAACTAATGAATAAGATCATTCACTAGTTGCACATATGTAAACCAGATAATTATTTAAATTATAGTTAGGTATTTTCACTATAATTTCAGCCTAATGTGGACAAATTGTTAATTATAATTTATCAATGTACTACAAGCGCAAATTACGAAAATCGGTTCTAAATATTTGGATGTCTAAATGAAATTGTTCTATTAATAGCCCGAGGCTATAAATGGTGCGGAGTCGGGTGAGCGAACGAACGACGCTCACCGCACAAAGGACAGATTTAGAACGGTCGGCACAGAATTAAAAATACTTCTATCTATCACACTTTTTGTTTTTGCTCAACGATATTATGTAATGATTAGTATACAAACAATTATGGAAAAAGACGAATTCATTGAAAAAAAATTATTTGAATGTCAAGCAGAACTTAAGAGCCCTATGAACGATTGTGATTAGATAATGCAATACCGATGGAAAATTTCAATATCGGTATTTCAGTGATTTTTCATTTTAAAACCGGAATACCGATAAATTACCGATATTTTTATTATCTTAAACAAACGTAAACAAAATTGAAAGTTACTAGTACAAACATTAAAAAAAAATGTATATACAACTACAACTATATTGAACTAAACAATAAAATAAAACAATATTTTTTTTTAAATAATAATTTAGCAAAATTATATACAATTTAATTAATTCATTATCACTATCGAGTATATTGAGTACTTTTCACCAAAAACAAACTTATGAGTAAAAAAGACCAAAAACTCATAAAAAATTATATTACATTATTATAATAAACTGTATTGTCTGTATCCAATTTGTTAAATTAGCATAATCTCCAATAGTTATAAAAAAAATATTTTTCTACTCTAATTTAAGATCGGATTCTTTGTCGAGATAAATAATAAGTTACTATAATTGTTGAGTATTGTTATTTATAACAATGTGATGCTTCCATAGTATTTTCAAACTTCGAAACGTTTTCGAAAAATAATATTTTATAATTGTAATAAGAAGCAAAAATATTTAGTAATTATCATAATTATTATGTATAAAATTAGAAAAAAATAAAGATTACGCAGGGGTAATCTGTATGATATGACATATTTTGGCGCAAATATCACTTAAAAAACCGTTACATTTTTACAAAAGATGAAACAAACATAATTATCTATCAGTCCAATTCTATTTATTATAACACGATATGAAGCCCTTTGGAAAGCAATAATTATTCAGTTTAATAATGAGTTGAGATAATATTTCGCATTTGTTTATCTTATAGAATCACTTGAAGATATGATATGAAGATAAGTTGTTTATGCGATTATGAAATTTGTTCCGAGAAATTTAAACTTTAGGGTATTATGTATCAAATAGCGCTTATGTAAAAATACCGAAAATACCGGTATTTTTAGAATAAATACCGGTAAAAAATCGGGCGGTTTACCGGTAATTCTGTATACCGGTATACCGGTATCGCATTCCCTAATTGTGATGATTTAACATAACTAACTTGTCGGTTTTATAGATGGCAACCTCAAAAGTTGTCCTATCTCTATGTGATGAATTATATTATTACAATTACTGTAATACTGTCACTATGGCTTACAATGATGGAAAGAGCCGAAGTCATTCATTTTTTTCCGAACATCAATCAGAACATAAGAGCCACATAAACTATTGTGGTGATTAGTCATAACTACTTAGTCGGTTTTATAGATGGCAAACCCAACAGTTGTCTTATCTCTATGTGATGATTATACTATTACAATTACTGTAATACTGTCAGTATTGCTTGACATCAGGCTGCCAGAGGTGGCTATAAACCTGAAACCTCATAAAAATCAGCAAGCAATTTTTTTCAACAGTTAATTTCAAGAAAACGGCTCGATATATGTTTACCTGAAACTAATCGTTATCATTTCAAACCAATATCTTTCAAAAAGTTTTTAATTTTTTAAAATCGAATCAGCATTGAAAGGTAAAACGTGAACAAAAAATTTGTCACTTTCCTGCTATTTACAAAGAAACGGCTTGGCTGTTCGTCGCGCAAAATTGATAAACGCTCTCCTCATCGATATCGGTCCAGCCATTTTTTAAGAAAACGTCGATTTATGGCAAAAAATCTGATCACACACATACTTTTTTTCAAATTTAGTTTCATTCGATTCCGAATGGCTTGAAACGTCAAGAAAACATAAAATTAGCGAATCGGATTTTTTTATGAAAACAAACTTCTTCGGGAAATTGAAAATTATTATTAATATCAACGAGCTGGCGATGACTCTGAATAAATATGCCACCAGTGGTTTGAGTAGTTCAGTTTCAAAATTTTGATGGCAACTTTTAAAAAATTGGACATAGTAAAAACTGGTCCCAGGTTCGCTGGTTCGATTCTCATTACCGCCAAAGCTCGACATCAAGCAGCTTTGATGTCAAATTTCTAAGTCAAAATCGCCTCTCGATATATAAACCATGCTATTTCCACACAAAACTTTGATTGAATTGCGCACTATCTAAAAGTTAATATTAAGAGCTATAATCTTCAGAGAATTGTTTTTTATCAATTTGGAACCATTTGAGCCCTTGGTAGCAAGGAAATTCGAAAATGTCCATATTAAGGACAACCCTTATATATATATATATATATATATATATATATATATATATATATATATATATATATATATATATATATATATAATGTCAACAAATATTTCGAATATAGTTAATTAGTCAACTTAATTGGACAACCACTGGGTTGTCATTCATTCTAAAATCTTTATGATAAAATCAAAACAATTACTGAATGTCTAAGTCTGACAAATTGTATTTAAAAGTTAAAAAAAACTTTTGAGAAATTATTTTAATTACAGTTTAAAATAAATAAAACAGCAGTCGTTTTGCTTAATCTATCGTCTTTCTACTTAGTTTATAAATACCATATAATTTTTACTTGATATATAAAAGCAAATGATTTATATAATTTACTTACAATTAGATTAAGTACGACTAAAAAGACTATTAAGTTCGAACCTATAAGAAGAATATTTATTTTTTAAATGATCAAGACTTTTTCGTTTAATTGTCCTCACCCATGTGCTGTTATGCGTATTTTTTATGTCTGAAGTATAAAATAAAAGTTATGAATATTTTTATAAAAGCAAAATATTTGTAAAACAGAGGTGTCACAGAAAAGACGTTTATTCAAAAAGGTTAAATCGAATAGAAACGAATGTCTGATCAATCAAATCTAGATAAAATTTTTAATTGTTTTTTCAATATTTTTCAATATTTGTATTTAAACATTCATGTTTATAATTTATATAGTTTGTAGATACCATTTATGAAATATCATCAAAAAAATTTAATTTGTAACTATTTTTTTTAGGTGAAAAATTGACCGATGCTGAGGTTGAAGAAGTATGCAAGGACTGCTTAGACCCTGAGGATGAAGACGGTCAAGTGCCATATGCTCGTAAGTTTCTAAGTACCTATTTTTAACTAATTGAGATTTGCTCACAAAACTTTTAATCAGAAAATTATTTTAAAGAAATTGATTTTAAATTTTAATAGAAAATAAAGTAAAAATATTTTAGATTATATATATATATATATATATATATATCAATATTAGTTTTTGCTAATTATTAAAAAAATTATTTTAAGATATTACCATATCAAGTAAATCTCAACTATGTATGTATAATGTCGATTTTGACCCTTTCCTTCCACCAAAATAAACATTTTCACAGTGTTATGCACTAAATTCGATGCATGGAGAGGACTGTAGTCCCCCCTGGCACCACAATTTGACCCCTAAAGTAGAAAAATATTATAAATATTATCCTTTGTGTTTGAATGACCCCTTAAATAGCACAATTATTTATAGCCATGCAAAAGGCGAATATATTCGCTTATAAACAGTAAACATTCACGAAAGTTCCAGTGAATACAAATTATTACACTTTCACTATATACAAAATTACGGAAATAATAAAAATGGTTGTCAATATATAAAAAAAAATCAACATATCTAAACAAAAATTGGACGAAATGCAAACAATATAGTTAAGAATTATTGGATAAAAGATAAAATAAAACCTTGTATTTGATACTGAAATTTTAGAAATACTTGAACAATTATGACCACAAATATATATTATATTTGATTTTTATTACTGTTTTTTCGATAACTTAGCAATTATTGTAATCAAAATTATCAACTGTGATAGATCAAAATTTTTACTGACAATCATTTCTATATCAACAACAGCTTTCCTTAAGAAAATGATGGCCTAATTATCAACACCACCAGATAAAAATATAGATTAAGATGTAAGTAAAACAATACCACAGACGCATGTCAGATTTCTAAACAAATACACTGCTTTTAATCCATAGTCAATTTTTATTTGCAAATAGCATGAAACCCAAAATATTATGCACAAATTAATAAATTAGTAAATCTTTTAACGAGTGTTTACTAACAATAATTGAAAATGAAATAAATCTAATAATACATATAGCTATATATGATTGGTAAATAATCACTAGAACAAAAATAGTAGAACCTCTTAGAAAAACGAGTTTCTTTGCCTTCTATAACAAAAAAGTTAAATGATATATCTAAAAAAATGTCAAATGTCGACAAACTATCAAATATCTATCTACCAATAATTATATAGCAAAATATATTTTATAAACATAATAATTAACCTTTCAATACTGTTTAGATAAAATAATTGGTAACTGCAACAAAAATATTTGTAAATGTTTTAAGCTTTGCAAATTTTTAACTGTAATGTTATGTATTCAAAAATGTGTTCAAAATGGCATATATCATTATCTTTTACACCAACAAAATTATCCAAAACAAACATATTTGTTTAGAAAGTAAATTTAATAAATTCAGTTTATTTTGAACCAGAACGAGATGAATTAATAGTCAAATTATACTTTCTCGTTCTCAAAATATATGAAAAAATCATTTGTATTAGCAGGCCATTACCAATGTTAAGTTTCTATAATATCGTTTCTATAATCAAGCTTTGGCAATTTTATGTAAATATATGTATATCTATTTCTAATTCTATTTATTATTTTCCTAGCATTTTTAAGAAAAATGTGCGACGGCTGGCAAAAGAAGGACTAAACATCAAAAATCAACTTGCCATTCAATCAAACTACTTTTTTTTTAATTCGTACACTGTAAATGAACCGAATCATAAACATCATAATGTAAAGGATAAAAAACCGATCCTTTTATCAGTATATGTAATTGCAATATTGTATAATAAAATGATTTTATTGTAAATTACTGTAAATTTTCCATTGTAATAAATAAATAAAATAAACTACTATTTAAAAATTTTGGAAATTTGCATCAAATTTTGTTTTATTAAGGGTATGTAATACACATTTGTATAGAAAACTGGTAGAGTAGAGCAGAGCTTGAAGGTTCACGGGTGAAAAGATCCACCACCAATATCTAAAAAACAATTGAAAATAGAGGGAAAATGATTTGTAATCGGCCATCACCTTGAATGTGTCGACGTCGCTATCAGGAGATAAACGACAATATTTAAAAATCTATAACAAAAGTATTTTCTTTCGCTGTTAGTTTTTTTTTTATTTTGCGCACTGTTGTTTAGTTTATGACACCTTAATATAATCGTTATCTATTTTTTTCTTTTAAATGTATTATTAATTTTAAGTTAGATCCAAGAGATGTTTTTTTATAACCTCTACTATAGATGTTATAGAGATTGCATATGGGTGGGTTAAAAATCAACCTTTACTCTCGCGTAAGCAATAAAAAATAGTAAATAAAAAATTCAATTAGGATTGAATTCAAACAATTTTGCAAGAGATAAATTAAATAAGTTATTCCAACTTTGCTGATGAATATTTCTGTTAAAATACCAGATCAAGATCTTATTTTATTAACTTCCCGTAGGGCAAGTTATAGTAATCGCAAAAAAATCGAAAATGAAAATTTTTATATATCTTTACGTTTCAAAACCTTCTGAACATTTTGGCATACCTTAAAAAAAATTGATGTATATGTGTGTGTATGTGTGTGTGTTTGGATACAAATTTTCGTCGACGATTTTGGGAACAATTCAAAAAACATTCGATTCGTATTGATAAGGAGACGTGCTGATTAGTTTTTGGCGAATGCAGGTCCAGCCGTTTTGAAGATACGGGAAAAAAGTGCCAAAAATGGTAACTCAGTTTTTAAGAGAACGAAGCGTCCGATTTTAATAATTCAAAAAACATTTTACTTGTATTGAAGATGAAGAATTGATCAAATTTTCATAGAGGCAGGTCTAGCGGTTTCGGAGATCTAGTACAAAAAAGTTATAAAAAATGCCATGTGCACATCAAATTATCAGATATTTTATAGAGATTTTAAGAATTTTGTTTACATTCCTATGGGTTCCGTACCAATGTTTACGCGTTAGACGGCGACGCGGCGCTTACGCGCTTCGATATTTCGTCTTTATGCAGTTACAGCAGTACGATTGCTTTGAAAAAAGTTCAGAATTTCTAAAATATTTCAAAATAAATGATTTAAGATAGAATGATTTAATATGGTTCGAAATTCTATTAAAAGTTTCAAATCATTGATCAATTTCAAACCAGCAATTTGCCTTAAGGCACGATGCCTTAATTGCCTTAAGACAGAATTTCAATTATAGCTAGTTTTATTTTTAAATATATAGCCCCCAGATTAGTTCCAAAAGGACTTAAAAATACAATTATTATACATATAATATGGATAAATTACATCATATAGTATAATATATAATGCATTTAATAATAATGCAAAATTACATAATACAGAATGTATCAATATTATTCAATTACATAGAATAAGATAAAATAAAAAAGTTGTTTGAAAAAAAATAAAATTTGAGCAGATGGAGGTTATTTGATAAAATGAAGTGTTTTATATTTATTTTTTATATCTACGTCATTATTAATTTAAGAGAGAATTAGATTTAGGAGTAGGATAATTGAAAAATAATTGTGAACGCAAAGATAGCCTGGGAACATTAAAGGATAGTTGGTTTAGAATTAGAGGACACTCTATAGCATTATTGCAAAGTTAGAAACATAATAGTACAGATAAATCGACGTGTGGCACGAGAAGGTATACCGAATTCATTCAACAAAGTGTTGTGGTCAAAACCACACACACACACACACACACACACATATATATATATATATATATATATATATATGTGTGTGTGTGTGTGTGTAACACACATATATATATATGTGTGTGTGTGTGTCTATATATGTGTATATATATATATATATATATATATATATATTGTATATACATATACAGTGTTATCTCTGTAAAAATTGTACCCATGTAATTTACATCCTCGCTGTCCCATTTTACCAGTTCCGGTTTCGATCCTTATTTCGGCCAGCTCGATATCAAGTAGTATGGTATCAAATTCTCACTTTAGATTATAGATCTTAAATATAAATTTATCTAGAAATCGTCCTTCATGAGCATTGCTGCAACATACTAGGTGTAGCAGTATGAAGTGAGCGTCTAGACACAAATGTCTCGATAGGGAAAATTTGTTTTAACTGAGCCCTATTTTTTTTTGGTATGATATATATTATGCGTATTTGCAACCTCTGATTTTTTTACTGTGCTCCGAGTCCAAATCGTTTGTACTTTTCAACTTGAGGGTAAGATGAACCTAATTCCAAAATTTAATGCAAATCGGCGCATGGTATAAACATTCAGACCAAAAACGCTCCATTGACTGGAGTATACAGGTTAATCCGGGACAACATTCAACATGGACTGCAAAACCAGATAGATTCGGCAAGAAGAAAATGTGTGTTTGGTGGGGCCACAATTGCGTAGTTTATTATGAGTTATTGAAACCTGGCAAAATCGCTAATACTTATCGCTACCGGCAACAAATGATCAATTTGAATCATATATTAATAAAAACACTACCAGAATTAGAAAGAAAACAGAACAACGTAATTTTGCTCCATGTCAATGCAAGAATGAAAAAAGAAATCAAGCCTCGATATTCAAAAATGTTGTAATATGGCAATTATACTGCCCTTATAATATCAGTTATCATATAATATTTTTTTGTATTATGCGTCATTGTGTCAATGTTATTTTGCCTTAAGCTGAAAACTTTAACGAATAAAAAACAGTAACTGTAAAGTGCATGACATTTAATTTATTTATACTTCAAATTTTGAATTTCATAAAATTAACAGTTGGGCGGTCAGAATATAATTTATTCTTATTATTAATTTAGATAAAAATATTAATTATTATTATTAAATTAATTTGATTTGAGAACTGATGATTTGATATCGGCCACATATTCGCCATTTTCTTCAATGTTAACCGGTGCAAGAAGTTTTGACTGCAGTGAATTTGCAGTTGTTGCCAAATCTAATGTAGTATTATCGGGTTTTATAAACTGTTCTTCAAAAGTGTCACCTGGATGCTGCTGGGGGCTTAATTGTTCTTCAAAAGTGTCTTCTGAATGCTGCTGGGGGCTTAATTGTTCTACAAAAGTGTCACCTGGATGCTGCCGAGGGCTTAATTGTTCTACAAGAGTGTCATCTGGATGCTGCTGGGGGCTTAATTGTTCTACAAAAGTATCACCTGGATGCTGCTGGGGTTTTAATTGTTCTACAAAAGTGTCTACTGGATGCTGTTGGGGGCTGAATTGTTCTACAAATCGCTTTTCGGAGAAACGATTTCGAATATTCGACGATTCAACTAGTTTAGGTATAATAGTTGGTGTAGGTTTAGTAAAATTGATAATAGAATTTATAGTAGGTAATTTAGATTCTGTTGTGGATGTTAAAGCGAGAGGTGAGACAGTTAAGAACTTTACAGAGCTAATATGATTTTTAGTTTTTAAGCTCCTGCTCATTTGTGTAGTAGTAGGCTCCGTCAAAGTTTGCAATAGTGCACTTATAGATGCGCTTTTCGCAGCCTGACTAAGTCTCATTTCATGTCCAAGCATGTGAAGCAGCAATTCCATATGTTTGTATAAAAAGTCATGAACTTCATTAGCATGAACTTTTTCATGTCGGGTTAAAATGTCGTACTCAGCAATAAGCTTTTTCACAATAGAAACTTTCTTTTGCAATGTTTCCGATGCACCGTCATCCTCAAAGTTAACGCCATTAGGAAATAAGAATGGAGATTGAGTCGATGGTATTTGTAAATTTGGATGCTTCAATGGTGGTAACGGCATTCCGCCTTCTTCTAAATAATTCGCCGACGCTTCCAATACATCATCTTGATGCATTAACCATTCCATAAATTTAGTCAAATCAGCACGAGGTGTCATGCAAGTTCGAAGGCGTACTTGTTCCTCAACTACGTGATTTAAGACTGTCATTACTTGTTTGAGCATAACATCCATTTTTCTTAAATCCGCTATATTTTCAGCAGCGGGTGAAATTGGGTCACCCATATGCATTCTTCCGTAAAGTAGACGTTTATGGAATCCTGGGGATAAATATCTTTTCATAGCCCTATTAGTATGAATATAATTCATAACGGACAACATAACTCTTTGAGGTAGTTGACTCTGCAGTAAATGTTTAATTTCATTATCTTCTTTTATAGCTGTAGTCCCTTTTTTTGAGAGCAAGGCTCCTGGTTCCAATGTTAATATGTCTTCTATAGCGCATGTTACGTTGGGTTCCATGTCAGATTCTGCTAGGATATTTTCAAGTTCTGTTCTGTTGAACCTTCTCTTATCGTTTGAACCTCGACTTCTTACATGAAGTCGTTTGCTGTTAGACGCATTTGATAGATCAGAACCTCCGTCATCTTCATAATGTAATTCATCATATTCTTCAGGTTCAATTTCATTCTGATTCTGCGAAGGCTTTTTGGTAGTTTTAACTGTATGTACTACTAGTGGCTCCATAGTGGAAACCATAATACTCTCGAGTGATTGTTGGTCAATTTTTGGTTTTTTTAAATGAGTATTCCGGCTCGCTTTATCGTCATCACCTAATTTCATATTCACATTTTGATAATCATAAGTAGGCATATCGTTATAAACAGATTTTAACGCTCGCAATTGAAAAGGTTCTTCTATTGAATATTGGGTACTATTCTCTCCATTCTCTAGTTTGATTTTCTCTTCATAATCACATACAGTTTGTGCTTTTGTATGACTACCTTTGTGATCCATTAAACGAAATTTATTATTGCGATCTAAATTCTGTTT